TTAAGTTTTTCTTTTGTAACTCAATGAAAAATGGATTCTTTTAAAACTATGACAGAACACAATTTATGCAGTTGATATCTGCTGACTACAACTTTTTTTCCCTTTGGGAATTAGAAAGGAGGCATATTCCCTCACCAGCTGTAGCTCCCCCACAGCGACCCCACACACCCTCCAAGTTCACTGTCCTTTGGGAATCTGCTTACTCACTCTTAGAGCTTCATCTATGTGGTGATCATTCCCATATCTGTGTCTCCACCCCAGAATTGCCGGCTGAATATATCCACTCAGATGTTGTCATAGGGACCTCAAAGTCAGTATATCAAATGCAAGCCTGTCTTTTCTCCCACTTGATCCTACTCCCCAGGGTACTCCTCTGGCATTCCCCTCAGACATGAGCACCACCATCTCACTATCCAGAGAACCAAGCCCTAAACCCCAATCATTCTAGCCACCTTCTTCCTCTTCTTCATCACTAACTTCTAATAAGCCACTATGTCTCCTTCCTTCTATAACTCCAGTCCCTCCCTTAGTACTGCCTTTGCTGAGGCTCTCTGCTTCCCCATCCACCCCACACTGCTGCCAGAGTGAACTTAGTACTCTTGGCAGCCGTCGGATCAAAATCACCATAGCCTGTTGCATGGTAAAATCCATACTCTTTAGCATGCAACAAGATCTGAATGATTCTACACAGGGCTTGCTTCTGTATGGGGGAGCCCTGCACCTGTGGGCCACTCAGAGGTCACTTTGTAGGTAGGTGCTCAGGAAATCTCAATCGAGTCAATAATAATCATCAGTTCTTGAGTCTGGTCCCCATTTCCCCATCTAGCCTCTTTTTTCAGCACTTCTCCACCCACACCCTCCACTCCAGCCATGATTCACTTCTTGCAGTTTCTCTGGGCAGGATAAGCTATTCCTGCCTCCTTGTCTATGCATAGGATTTAAGTGACTGGAACCTAGCTTTGTCATGTGTGACCCTGAGCAAAGTACTTAATCCTTATCTATAAAATAGAGTGAATACCTACCTCACAAAAGTGTAGTGAGAATACAATGAGATAGCACATGCACAAGTAGTTTGTAAACCATAAAAGTACCATAAAACATCATTTAGTAATTCATCAAAGCCTATCTTTAATGCCACCACCTGCAAGAAGCCTTTTTGATGTCCTAAGCAGAAACCATCCTCCTTCTCTTAGACAGCCCATATGCCCTCATGGCTTCCATCACACACCCCTTTAATGTGTCCAAGTTCATGTTCTATGTCTAGAGCCAGATTACAAACCCCAGAAGTCAGCATCCTTCCTACTCTATGGCTCTTCTTTCATGCTCTGTAGGCCTCAAGTGTCTAGAGTCTTTCAAACAGAAGCGACTTCTGATATGAGGAGGCAGAAACTAAAAGTCCCCAGTGGTAAAGTAACAGGGAGTCTGGGATGCCCCTCAGGATCATGGATCCCTCTCTAGAGGACACGTCCATCCAGCAACACCACACTGTGAGCTGCAATGCCAGTAGCTGGCTCACCAGCTGCCTCTCCTCAAGCCTGGCCCATGTCAGACATGGCTAGTCAATCATAGGCTCTCTCTGGCTGAGCCTAGAGGGTTGCAGTGACTTTTACAACACAGTTCCAGGTAGCCACCGCTTATAGATCAACTTTAGCACAAGAGATTAAAAAAAAAAAAAAAGTTGGGGAGCCGGCCAAGTGGCGCATTGGTTAAGAGTTGGCTTGGGACGCCAGCTCTAAGCAGCAGGGCACCAGTTCGGATCCCACATTAGGTTCAGTGATGCTGCGCCCTCTACAGCTAACATGGTGAATAGCAACTCAACCTGGTGCTGGGCTGCCATGAGTCACTGGCGACGGAATAAGCAGCAGCCCCTGCTGCAGAGGGCTCTAGTGAGCTACCGTGAGTGGCTGGCAGCCGGTGTGAGCTGTTGCGAGCCACCGTGAGTGGCCGTCCAATGGCCGGCACGCAACTGCCTCACCTGGGAAGAGCGCAATGATAATACCAACATAGGCCAGTGAAGTGACGTTCTCCACAACTAGACTGAAGAACAAAAGGACAGCAACTTGTCTAGTCCCCTTCCCCAATTCCCCAACACTGTTCCCCTCCCCCAACTCCCCAATAAAATCTTTAAAAAAAATTTTTTTACCATCCACTAAGCCCAGAGATGCTCCCAAATAGTTGATCTAAAGTCACTACAGAGCAAGCTAAAGGGCTAAAAAAAAAAAGGGAGAGATCACCTCAGATCTGGCAAGTGGGTTGATTGGGCTTACAGGCAGGCTATTTTGGAGGACAAAGACCAGCCTATAATTATGCAAAGTGATTTTCTCCCAAATTTTAAGGTCACAGATTCCCAAAGTCTTCCCCTTCTAGAGCCCCCTCTTTCACATAGGTAGGCGCCTGAGGGTCTTGGTTTCCCATTAAATGCCCCCACCTCAATTTGCTTAGTGCCCAGCCACCTGTGTCTTTAGGGTTCTCTTTCCTGTCTTAAAAAAGGAGCCAGCAAAGTGTAGGCCTGCTTTCCTTGACAAAGGGCTTATGTATAATTAAAAGGGATTATGCTTTGAAGGGGGAAATTAACCTTTAATCACCTAGAGAAGGACACAACAGCTTGAGTGGGAGGTGCTCTGGGCAGCATTTATGTCCATTGCTGCCTGTGAGTTTCAACCACAGAGGGAGGGCTCTGAGTGAGTTACCCGTCTTCTGTGGTCACCATCATGGGCTTTGCAAGACAGATTCAGCTTTTGCTCTGGAAGAACTGGACCCTGCGGAAAAGGCAAAAGGTAATAGGTACAGGCTGTGGTCTGTACAAAGCAGGATGCAGAGCAATAAACAGGTGGAGTGAGTGGGATGGGGTGGGGGCAGGGAGGGTGAGCAGTCGATAGGCTGGTTGCCACTTAGCACTGAAGCAGCGGTTAACTGTCTGGCTGCTCGGTGAAACTCTCACAGGCAGACATACTACTCTGTCCTGAGATGGGTGCTTTCCACCCATAGCCCAGCATGGCCACGTTCAAGTCTTCCATTGCCTGCCCATCTCTCCCTGGTTTTTAAACCTGCCAGTCCAGTCCACACAACCTTGAGCATCCATGCTGTGTAGTGGAAGGAACTTAAGCCCTGAAGAACAGGCTCAACAGAAAACAATGCTCTCCAAGGGTTTCCCAGCCCAGTGATACCGTATTTCATTGATTCTGTGAGGCACACTGGTTTTTCATACTGTCAAGTTTCTGAAATTGGGATGCAGCTCACAGTCAAGTGATAATTTAACAGGACACATTTGTTTCTTCCATAGTGTGCAAAAAATAATAGCGTATTTTACAATTGATGGTGTCTTAGATCTAATGAGATATAACACCTTGTCAACCATCGCAGGCATTCACTGAGCCCTTTCAGTGGGCAGACATAGGGCTGAGCTGGACCAGGTACTGAAACAAGACAGGTTCCACCCTGGACTCACTTCTAGTCTGGCTGGGAAAACTTGAAGTACTGGGTTGTCGGAAAAGTCATGACATTTTTTCTATGTTTTTCGATGCAAAAATGAGTCATAACTTTTCCGACAACTCAATATGTTTTGAGACCAAAAGCAATAAAAGTAGCAGAAACCAAATATCCCCTGAGAAGTACAGGCAAGAGCCCAGGAGATCAGAGCACCCAAAGGCATACATGTAAATGGCAACTGGCTTCTAAATTGTTTCTGGAAAGGGGTAAAGAGTGAATATATAACTATAAGAAACCATGTGCTTTGCTACAGGCTTGCCCCATCATGCAAATGCCAAATGACTGAAAACTGACTACAGGAGCTAAAAGAGGAAGAGGAAAGGGGGTGAGGAGTGGGCAGGGCTGAGCTTAGAAAGACAGGAGCCAGACAAGGAAGGGAGAACCTGGAGGGAGGACAGGGAGATCTTCTGAGGGGAAGAAGAGAACAGATTTGTTCCAAGCCTCAATTCAGGGTGGATTTATGTAGGCAGATCAGGCTTTCCCTCGGGGTTGGAAGGAATGTGAGAGAAGAAAGGGGGCCAGCTGGTGGAACGCCTGAAGACCTATGATTGAGTATCTCAGTCAGAGAGAATTTAATATAAAATAGCGTTCGCTATGTACAAAGCCGATAACTGAGAGGGTAAAGAGAACTCCAAGGTGTCATGGAGGGGACAATGGCAGGGCACAGCTAGCAGCCCTAGATCCAAGAAAACCAAAGGAAGAAAGTGGAATTGTTGAGACGTGGAAACCCAGAGGAGAGGTGGGTGGAGCTGAGACTCGGACCTGTGACGAAAGGGTACAATGAGGCTGCTGCCGGGGTCTCTGAGCCTGGTCTCAGGTCCGGACCCATGATGAGGGAGCCCTGGCTGGCTGGTGGGTTTGGACTGAGGGACAATTGCTTAACAACTAGCACAAAAGGGAGCAAGAGACACAATCCAACTAGGTGCACAGATGGCCCTTTCCTGTATGTGGCTTGGGTAGGATTTAGGGACACAGGAGGGGGAAGCCAAGTTAGAACCTCTCATCTGTGGGAAACACCACTGCTCTCAGGCTGCTTTCCTTTATCAAAGCTGGTGTGATTTTTCAAATTGGTGTTCAAGTTATTTGTTGCCCTCAGGAACCAAGTGCTAACGGTAGTGAGAGACTGAATCCCTTGCTTCTAGGTGCTTCTCTTTTAGAATGAATACAGACAAAACTGAAACAAGACTCATTTAAATGCATTCACTTATTCATTTGTTCCTTTAGTCAACAAATACTTAATAATCGCCAGGCACTGTGCCAGGTGCTGGGGACCCAATGACAAACAGACAATCAGGGTCCCTAACTACATGGCAGTCTACAAAATGCTGAGGCAAAGCCAATATTGCCACCATCTTTCCCCACAACCCCCGCCCCCTCTTTTCCATAAGAAATTAAGATTCTTACTTACTTTTACTCTCAATGTGCTCTTTGTGGTCATCAAAAAATATACCTGAGGACTGTGGCTGCTGGCCTGAAATGATTCCATTCCTGTGGCAAGCATATTGCTGTTACAGAGAATAACCTTCTTTTCAAAGGCCAGACTTGGCTCAGAACTCCTCACAGTCTCTGCTGCCTTTACCTGGCTTTGGTGGGTGTCCCTGTTCAGAGACTCTGCCTTCTCTGCTCCTCTTGGAGGAGCACTTTACCAGCCCCCCTGTGGTAAGAGGGGTCCAGGCTGAGGACCTTGGCTGGGGGAATCTCCCAGGATGCACCTAGTCTAGGCTGACATTCTTTTGATGCCATCATGATGGCCTGGAAATTGAGATCTCTTGTCTGGTGCGTCTCCAGCCCACTTCCCCACTGCTACCACATTCCAGGAATTTCCAGGATGTCTGGGTAAAAGATGGAGGCATCCTCCACAAGCCCTCAGTAGCTCTGAGAGGGGTCTGTGACTCTTTCCCTAAGCTTTGGGTTCTTCTGGAAGCTTCTGCCTGCACAAAATGGTGACTCAAAAAAAAACAAAAAGTACAACACACTTAGCCCCAAACTCAACTCCTAGGTTTTTAATTTCTCAAGCTTCCTTGGTTTTGGGTGTTTACTATTATGAGTAAGAGCAAAAATAGATACCAAATTCCCCCAATTCCTCCTCTCCCAATCCCTAAGGGCACAAGATGAAAATCTTCAGATGTTCAGCCCTCCCTTTTCTTTCTTCCTCTGGTAACATTTATCAAGTATTACTTAGTGCCTGACACTGTACCGTCAACCTCATTTAACCCTCACCTCAGTTCCGTGAGAGCGATACCACTATTATCCCCATGGGAACTCATGAGGTCATTGAGGCTTCAGTGAAGGTTCGTGACTGACAGATATGGCCATTACCCCACACTGCCTCCTCCATGTATCAAGCCCTATCTAATAGGCTGGCCGTGAAAACCACAAAGATAGGGTGGCCATCTAATTTTTCATCCAAACCAAGGGAGTTATGAAAGTGAAAAGGGACACTATTAATAATCGCACCAGGACAGCAAATGTACACCAACTCTGGACCAGGCAAACTGGGCTGTATGGTTACCCCATACATCCCATATGGCCAGGTGAGTTAGACACAGGCCCTGCCCTCGTGGATTTTGGAGTCAGGCCCAATTACTGAGCAGAATAACATATGCAACAGTATAAAAGAATGAAGCCTGGGGTGGGAGGCGAGGATGAGCTCTGCGAGCCCAGAGCAGACACTGGGCTTGGAGGAGGTGAGAGAAGACTTCTTCTCAAGAAACTCATCCCTAGAACGTGCTTTCCCAATGACCAGAGCTCTTTGCACTGCCCGGGACAAATGCACATCCACCCGTGTTTGTGATGAGCCAGCAGACACTGGCAGGGAGACTTTATAAAGATCATTAAGTGTGTCTCTTGCCCCTGACAGCTCACAATCTAGGGCCCGTTGCTGTCATCCCTCGGTCCCAGCTTCCATGTCAGAGCAGGATATCTGGGGGAGGCCCGAGGACTCATGAGAGTAGGGGGCTCATTATTTCCAGGAGTCCAGACCCAGGCACCAGGTACAGCTGCAGCCTTTGGTTCCTGGCCCAGCATTAGGCGAGGAGAACCTGGCAGGTGCAGGGAGGCTGAGCAGTTAGCTCCAAAGTGTACTCAGGTCCCGGGTCATCTTCATCCAGGCTAAGAATTCTGTCTGGGTTCCTGGTACAGAAGAGAGAATCACCCAGCTCATTTCAAGCCTTAGCTACCCACTTTTAAATTGGAAACAGAGTAGGAGGGGGAAAAAAATCTGACTGGCTAAGATTTAAAACAACAAGCACAGCCCTGCCCTTCCCTGCGACCCCTCCTCCCCCATGTAGGTTGTGTGGTAAAGAGCGGGGGAGGAGAAGCATAAAGGACAGAGAACAAGGAAATACCAGTTTGGGGAAAAAAAAAAATTCCACGGACCCCTTCTGCGTTTGGCTGGGCTTAATTAAAGTTACAGACATGTTTAGAGGGAAGGGGTGGGGGTAGTCAGAGCTTCTCTGAAAACATGTTTTTAATTACGCTGTGGAATTTCTCCCTAGGGTATGCCCTGCACAGCGGAGCATCAAGGACAAGGATGCCGCTCCTGGGTGCGGGTGCTGAGCACGATTCTGGGGGAGGGAGAAGACGTTATTGCCAGGACCTGCCAGGCAGGAAAAGAATTGCCGGGGGTCTTTGTGCAGGGAGGGGTGAGGTGTGAAATGTAGCCCCTCCAAAACAAACGCTCACAGAGTTAGAGCAATAACACTGACCTCTCAACAAATGTTTTTCCAAGATTACTAACCACTACCTATGCCGGTGGTTCTCAGCCCCAGCTGCACATTGGAATTACCAGAGAAGTGTTAGAAAACAAAACAAAACAAAAAAAACAAAAATGGTGTCCCACGATCAGAGGCACTGGTGTCACTGATCAAGGAGCATGGCCTAACCTCCCCACATGATGCCAGCACAAAGCCACGGGAGAGCTGCAGACCTAGGTCGATGAAGGGGACCACATGAGGGGCAAGGGTTACAGGCAGAAAACTGCAGCCCTAACTCAGAGATCTGGTGAAGAGGAACACCTGCAAAGATGCACTTGTCCTAGGGCCAGGCAAAGAATGAAGGAGAAAAGGAGAACTCTGATTTGGCCCCCCACGGATGGGAGGACTTTAAATCACAATGCCTCGCAAAGACCAGATACTTCAAAAATACAAGATGGAGTGAGTGAGTGAGTGAGTGAGTGAGTGAGTGAGTGAGTGAGTACTGAGTAGATGAGAGAGTGTGACTAACATGGCAAAGAGGGATGACATGCAGGAGCTAGGGTTTGGGAATTTTATCTGTAGGCCAGGCTGGCTGATCCCCAGACACCTTCTCCAAGCTTCTCTAAGATACAGAGCAGGGGACCATGTGTGGTTAGTTTCTCAGGAAGCCCCACGTTTCCAAACTAGCAAATGAGCTGTTCTGAAGCCAGAAAGGGGGGAAATATGAATGTGAGTGGAGGCCTAAGAGCTTGCAGATCATTTTAATTCTATCTCCTGGCTCTCAGCCTTTACAGCTTGCTGTCCCCTACAGTGTCCCTGTGGTCTTTGTAAGAAGTGAGGGTCAATAACAAATGACATGTGTTTATTGAATGTTACCTTGGGCCAGGTTCTGCTTTAGGTATTTCACATGGTAAATTCATTTCTTCCTCAAAACTGCTCTGGGAGGTGGGTCCTGTCATCACCCCCTATTTTACAGATGAGACCCTGAGGCATGGAGAGGTTGAATGGGTTACACAAGGTCATACAACTAATAGGGAGCAGATCCGGGTATGCACCTCAATACTGACACACTCCTAACCCTCAGTGTACGCTGTAGGACAAAATGGTCCCATTTTCACAGATGTGAAAACTGAGACTCAGAGATTAAGCAAGCCCAAAAGTGATTCTTTTTTTTTTTTTTTTTTTAGCTGAGCCATCCTGCTACCTATTGGCAGCTCAGTGGCTGCTCAGCTCGGGCTGGACTCGAACCGCTGTTGCTCNCAGTGGCTGCTCAGCTCGGGCTGGACTCGAACCGCTGTTGCTCAGAGCTCAAACTCTTGAGCGAGCTCTTAACCAACTGAGCCACTCAGCCGGCCCCCAAAAGTGATTCTTAACCCAGATCTTCCCATTCCCAAACCAGCGTCAATGTCTAACATATCAGACTACTCCCAGATAGACTTGCTACTTGGAAGGAGGTTGACTGACTTGGTAGAAAGCCATGGTTGCAAGCAATTGTCTTAAGGAAGAGTCAAATGTTTAGAATCTGGACTGGTTGTCTCATTTCCTTGCTAAAGACACCAGGAACAACTTCCAGTTTCATCGTTTGCACCTATTATTCACATTGCTATCTTGCCAGACTTGCTCACCAACCTTACTCACTGATGGGAGGACCTGGAATAAAAGTTGTGAAGCCAGTACAGTTTGTTAAATCTGAAAACTGTTGGTGACCTGAGCCTCTGTGTCACCTCCAACTTTCCCAGAGGAGCCTCCTAGACCAGTCTTCACAAAGACTCACTCATTCCATATTTATTGGGCACCTGTTATGAACCCAGCCCTGTGTTGAGTGCTAGAATCACAGTAGTGATGGGGATAGACATGCATGATTCCTGCCCTCAGGAAGCTTACAGCCAGCGAGTGGTCCACTTACATGAAGGAATAATGACCCTGACATTGGATGTGATAGGCAAGGGGAAGTATGGACTGTTGTGGGAACACTTGTGCTGGTCTGATAAGGGCAGGGTAGCCGGAAAGAGGCTCAGCCCCTCCTCCCTTGATTTGCATGCCCGGGAGGAACTGCCACATTCCAATGGCTATCAAGTGTGCTTGGGGTCAGTCCCTTTAACACTGGATGGGAATTGTCCAATATTAGTGTTCTGCCTGCTTGTGAGAGAATGTGTAGGGGGAGGCCTGAAAAATAACTGCCTTAAGAAAAAAACTATTCTTTCTTCTTCCCGTAATTTTTGTGCGTGTGCTTCCGATAACACATCCTTCCTAGACATATTTTGGGTAAAACATTTTGTAATAAGTTACAACTGCATAATCACCACCTGTCCTAAACAGTTTTTGCTTTTTCTTCACTTCATTATCTTTTTTTTTCTCATAGACTTATGTTATGATTTGTAATGATTCAGTTGCTGGCAGACCTTACTAGCAGGAAAGGAACAAACATTTATTGAGCACCTACTATGGTGTCCACAATTTTGCTGAGAGTTTAAGTACATTTCTTTGGAAGGAAGAACAAATGATTGAAGACCATGCAAATAGCCCCCAGCTGATCTATATACTTGTATACTTAAGTCTCTATTCTTAGCCACTTGCTTAAGTTCTCCTTTAAATCTTATGAGTTTCCTTCCTAAAGTCCCTGGAATAGGGCTTGGGCAGAAGAACTATTACATCCCCCAATTCACATCTCCCCTTTCTTCTCTGTCCCCCATAATCCCACAGCTCCAGCCTCCACCCTCATTTGCAATGCCTCAGAGTGTGGGCTGCAACAACCAACTGCTTCTTCTTCCTTTGGAGTCAAGAGTCCTTAAACTCTAAATTGAACCTAAATTTACATACCAACTTTCAACCATATGTTGGTATCAGCAAACTCTTCCAGTATTGTAAAAACCCAGATAGTATGCCCTGCTTTGTCTCTTCAAGCAACAAGAAATTGTTAAAGGAGGGCCGGCCGAGTGGCGCGTTGGTTAAGAACTGGCTTGGGATGCCAGAGGGCCCCGGTTTGGATCCCACGTATGAAGGGCAGTGACACTGCCCTCTACAGCTAAGATGCTGAACAACAGCTCAACCTGGAGCTGGGCTGCTGTGAGTCGCCGGCGACGGCCTAGACTGCAGCCCCTGTGGCAGTGGGTTGCCATGGGCTACCATGTGTAGCCAGCAGCCAGCGTGAGTGGCCAGCAGCCACAGTGAGTGGCCGTCCAGAAGCCAGCAACTGATCTGCCTCGCCCGGGAAGAGCGCAATGATGGTGCCAACTTGGGCCAGTGAAGCAATGTCCTCCACAACTAGACTGAAGAACAAAACGACAGCAACTTGTCTGTTCCCCTTCCCCCAATTCCCCAGCGCTGTTCCCATCCCCCAATTCCCCAATAAAAATCTTAAAAAAAAAAATTGTTAAAGGAAAAACGTTGGTAAACCCAGATTTCTGTTGATTTTGCTGTGGATCACAGTATTTCATAGTCATTTGTGCATTGATTCATTTATCACTGACCATGCAAAGTCTAATGTGTGCTAGAAGGTGTGGGGAGGGACAGATCATTCACCCTGGAGACGGGAGGCTAGATGTTGTTTCCAATGCTGCTGATGTGATGCTGCACAGGTCACCTGCTCTCCCTGGGCCTCTGTTTCCTCACCCTCTCCATTACCTGGGAGCTTGTTAGACATGCGAGATCTGGTGGGGCCCTACAGAATCAGAATCTGCATTCATGTACACAGCAACATCTGAAAAGCCCGAAGTACATATGTTGATGACCGTTGATGAAAGTCCTGTGCTAATGCAGTTTTCTAAAATAGAGGCAGAGTGGAGCCCAGATGGACACCAGGTCTTGCTGGTCTGATATATCAGAGTAGAGGTAGTATGGGAGAGAGGAGTTTACAATAAAAAGGAAGTCCTGTAGGAAATATACCACAACCAAGGTCCTATTGTATAGACAGGTGCTGAGATGAATTGTGTTTGCTCTGGGTATGTTTCCTATAATCTCTTAGCATCGCTGGTCTTTCATTTTGTTTTGCTTTTCCAGATTCGCTTTGTGGTGGAACTCGTGTGGCCTTTATCTTTATTTCTGGTCTTGATCTGGTTAAGGAATGTCAACCCACTCTACAGCAAACATGAATGTAAGCATAACGGGGTAGCCTTGGTAGACCTGGAGGTCCCATCCTTTTAGAAAGGTCTTAGGGGTTGGGGTGCCAGGATTGAGGGGTGGTCTTATCATCATTTCATGCCTGTAATGCAGAAAACAGATTCATTAGTGTTATGCAAACTAATCTTTTATTCTTACACAGTCTGTGCAAATACTTGTGTGTGCTTACTGAGGAATTGCGTGATTATTTTTTGTTCGCATTTTCTTTCTTTCTTTCTTTCTTTCTTTTTTTTTATCTGTACCTAAGCTCTTATAATTTTTTTTTTAAGATTTTATTGGGGAATTGGGGGATGGGAACAGCGCTGGGGAATTGGGGGAAGGGGAACAGACAAGTTGCTGTCCTTTTGT